AAAAACTCACAAGAAGAAAAAAAGAGAGAAAACTCCATACGTTCAAGCCTACTGCCAAGAGCCCGAGCTTTTTTTCACAAGTCATTCTTTTCTTCTTTTTCCCGAGCATGGTAAACCCTCTTTTCGATCATTGGGCTAAATTTAATGTTCATAATATTAATAAAGCATGATAAGATATGTAAAATTAACAAGATAATTATATAAGATTCAATGATTTTCTTTTATATTTAATGAAAGACCAAGTTGGATCTTGGACAATTTGGTGTTTTTAAAAGATGTTTAATGTCTAAGAAGTTGATAATACGGCTTAGTTAATGAAGATTATGTGCATTGATGATGATTTATAGAAGTTATACATAAAATTTCTGTTTTCATGGCCACTGTTGTGAGCCGTTTTTGGCAACCAAGAACTCAATTTTTAGGAATGTGTTCTGCATGAGATATGTGGAAAATTCTATTAGGTTTCAGTAGGCTTTGGAATCTTGGGAATCCGAGTTCATATGGATTTTATATGATATTTACAAGTCAATTGTGTGTCCAGTTTCTATGAAGTCAGGACTGAGAATAGACCTTTAATGTATGACCCACTTTGATGTGTCAGACGTGCTCAAATGTGAAAATAGTCTTTATGATATATGTAGCCTTATGTGTATAGTTTCTGTAGGTGTTGGATTCGCATGAAAATGAGGTCTGTAGCATGAGATATTTCGATTTTACCAAGGCTCTATATGATATATGATGTCATTCTCGGACTGCAATTGTGTTCCAAATGTACCAAGAATAAACTGTGAGAAACCGTCCTCATTTGCCTTTGATGTCAACATGAAAGTTGTATCCATACTTGTTTAGTTTCTGTAAGTTTTTGAATTTCATGATTTTATGTCCTGTAGCTCGAGATACATGATAATTACTGAGGTGTTGTATGTAATATAAGTTGGTTTCTGGCAGTTTTTATGAACTGAATGTTTTAAATTTAAACTCGATGATAATATCATTATTTGCCAATATGGTCTTCAACAAAGTTGCAGATATGTAAGTTGGCTGCCTTGTGGTTTTTGAATATTATGAAAAGCATGTCTGTAGCTTCAATTATCTTGCAATTACTGAAGTCCTATCAGCTGTTTTATTTCAATCGTTGACTGCAACTATGAATTAGATGTTTGTTGAATTATGTGCAATTAAATGACCCTATCTGCTTGAGTTGTCATCATGAAAGTTGTAGAGGAATGGTTTAGGGATAATTTTCAATTTGAATCATCATGATATGGTCTAATGACTGAAAGTCACATGCATTCTAAGTTCATCGCACATGCTGGAAATTGTATAAGTTCATATTTGAAATTCCAAATTGATTATTACTGTTTAAAAACATGTTTATGTGGCATAACTGATCCATGTCATGATATTTGAAGTTTATATGACCCTTCAGTGTCCTATGTGATAAAAGTTAAGCAAGTTAAGTTATCAACCAATCGAAAAGACTTAAACATAAATGTTTTCAAAGTATGAGCGCAAGGCGAAGCCGAGCGAGCTAGTTTTCAAAGTTCATGTATATGTATTTGACTAAGTATGAGTTTAAGTTAAGCCATGATAAGATTCTAAGACATGTCCCAACGAATTGTAGTCAACGAGGAGTCGAGCCCTTGAGTTCTTTCAAGTTCAAGCCTTTAAGTCGAGCATTTCGAAAAAGGTAGGGGAAGTTCTACGTTTTTATCCTTCTTGATTATCTATGTTTTGAATGAAGTTAAGTAGCTTGCATAGTACCCATGTTTATATAATGTTCCAACATTCGAGCAAGTCGTTTGTTGCAGTACCAAGGTTCACGGACTATAACTCTAGAGGGTGGCTAAGTGCTAGGGTTAGAGTATGTAAGTGCGTGCATGTAACCTTCGTTGGTGCACACTTCGAACGATTGTCCCCGTCGATAAGACCATATGAAGCCTATGTTGAGGGTTGTCTCCCTTCAACCCCACGGGTGGTACTCTCGTCAAGCCTAGTTGGCCGTGCCATGAGAGGCAATGTTCTTCCACCACCATAAAGTGGTATAAGGAGTTTGACGAGGGGTGTGAGTGTGATGATAGTGTACTTACGTGCATACAAAGACTCTAGTGTTTAGTTGCCTAATAGAGTTGTAGAAGCAAGAAAGTCTTTCGACTTGTGGGCGACCACTCGTCGCGAGCTCATGATTATGTTGAGTATACCTAATGATTTCATGCATGATAGTTGGTTAGGATGTTAACTTAGAAAGATCTCTCACTGAGTAAGTTGAAATGCTCACACCCTACTTGTTTTCCACACCCAGGTACATGGCGAGCTGGCATTGGAGCGATGGCGAGGGTGGTCACATGTTCATAGGATTTTTAAAATGATTTGAGTTTTTACGTTTCCGCAATAAGTTATGTTTTTATTAAATGTTTATGTTTAAAGCAAAGTGTATGTCATCGATATGCAAAGTTCAATGTTAAGCCAAGGTCACAAGTAACCCCTCGAGGCTTTGCCATGGAAAGTTTATCTTTTAGGTCTAATGTTTTCAAAGTAATGCAAAATTATGATATGTTTACGAAATGTAAGTTAAGTTTCAAATGCAAGTAAGTTTTATTTTAGTGTCACCCTAAGTTTAAGTAAAGTTTTCCAAGTATTGTTCAAAGGAAAATTTTATTCAAGAAATTCAAGGTATGAAAAGTGGGGCGTTACAGTTTGGTATTAGAGCGGGTTTACGTTTCTGTATACCTGTAAAATGTTTTTAATAAGATTTTCAAAGAAATTAACCACTTGCCACCGTTGCGGCTTGCCAACTCCGAGGTAAGTTATTTCAGGATAATGTGTTTAGTGCATAAGTAGGATGACATGAGTTGGGGCCTAAGTTCTATTCTTAAGATATGGTAAACTCAAGAGGAGACCTTAGATAGTATTGTTTGAGTAAGAAGATGAAGCGAGTTGAACTAAGTTGAGACTCTAGTCAGGATTCAAAGTTGACCTATGCAAGTTGGAGGAAAATGGATAAGAGGATAGAGTAGTAAGGCAATGGATACAAGGATAGTTACAAGCTATCTCAACGTGAAGCGATACGGAGGAAGCCTAAGGGGAAGGGATCGCTCAGAAATTTTCGGAGGACTTAGTCTAAAGCACTGGAGAGGAGTTAGCATGTTAAACCAGGATCAACCAGAAAGACTGGACGCTACCAGCTAAGAACGAGGAGCCCGACGAGAGAAGGACAACATTCGAAAGATTCAACATGGAGCTTTAGATGATCGCACTATCTAAGCGATTGACGAAGTACCAAAAGGAGGAGAATTTCCAGGAGCTTAAGTGTCTGAGTTCGAGCGAGAGAAGGAGATCGAGACGAAGGAGTTGAGCTCAAGATGTAGGGCGACACTACAAGTGTAGTGAGGCTATAGTAAGTGACGTAGGTGCAACTTGTATATGCGACTGAAGACAATGCAAGTATCGTAGGTATACTACACGCATGTGCTGCACGCAGGCGTGTTACGCTCACCGGCCGGGAGTTTCTGGTATACCGTGTTGCAATGTGTCGTACGTAGCGTGCCCCGATGTCGCGTGCTGAGTTGCCGCGAATTGTGCCACAGTCGCTAGCTCGTCTTGCTACTTGCGCAAGTGCCGCAGAAGGTTGTACTGATGCAATGGGTCAATAGGACAGCAAGGAATGGACGATCAAGACGAATAGGAGTGCTGAACCAATAGAGTGGCGCAGCGAAAGCGTGGTGGGCCCATAACCAACAGGTCACAGGATCACGGGAGAGAAGCATAAGGAGGATAGGAGGAGGAGGAGCGCCACGAGTCTACATGCTGGCTGAGAAGAAAAAGCCAAAGGAAGAGTGAGGCCTTGGAAGAATAGCTAATTAGTTATTCCTTTAAGATACTTGAATGGATTAGGAATGGGAAAAAAACTTTTTACCATCCGAACTATAACAATTTTGGGGTTTTACCATACAAACTTTTTTTTTTTTTTTGCAAACCACTACCTCAACTATGCTAGTTTGTCAAATTGCTCCCTATACAGGTTTAAGCCCGGTTTCACCTCATTCAAATCGGTTTTCTGAGGTTATTTTCGAAATTTAAGATAATTAAAAAAAATAAAAAAATAAAAAATTCTTTCTCATCTGCAGCATTACAATCGAGAACACTCACGAAACTTGTAATCATTTGATGCATTTTACAGTTGGGACAAACAAAAAACTTATCTATTTACTCATCAAGCAAATGAACTTGTCTAAAAACAAATGCCAAATGCCAAATCGAGAAAGAAGAAAAGCCCCAATCTATTTACTCAATCTATTTACTCATCAGGCAATTGGGGAAATCGAAGAAGAAAAGCCCCAAAATCCTCCTAATCCAACTTCTTCTCCAAGCCTTGGCTCATCGCCATTGAGGACCTCGAAGATGGTGTATTTGACGCGGTTCTCGAGGCTGAGGAGGAGGTCGAAGTTTCGGAGGCCGATGTTTGCACAATGGTGACGACAAAGAACTCTAGGCGTGCGAGAGAGAGGCCGAATTTGGAGGTGGTGCTGGTTTGCCACCTTTGCCGGAGGTGGTGACTGCGATGGGGGGGATCTCGTCGGAGAGCTGCGGCTTGCGGTTGTGCTGGAGGAGGGCTCAGATTGGGACGGGGCGGTGACTGCTAGGGTTTTGGGTTGTGCTTAGAGCTCGGGTGGATGCGGCGACTAGGGTTTTCGTCGACCTCCTGAGGAAATTTTTAGGGGTGAGATGCGGCGCTGAGGGTTTGGCACAGGCGGGTTTCAAGAGGCCGTATTTGATTGATTTTTTTTGAATTAAAAAATAAAAATGAATAAAAATAGGTTAATAGGAGAGAATTTGACAAAAAAGAGGGGTTAATTTGTCATATTTGAATAGTCTATAAATTATGATTTGGTCCTTTAAGTACTTTTGCAATATTATAAAAATTTGCAGTTCCCCAAATGCCCTTGTAAATCAGCTTTTTTCCTACAAAACAACTTTAAAAACGGTTTTGGAGGGCAAAGTGAAAAAAACGTGTAGTTAATATGGTGGTTTGCAAAAAGAAAAAGTATGTATGGTAAAGCGCCAAAACCGTGATAGTTCGGGTGGTAAAAAGTTTTTTTCCCATTAGAAATCGACTGAGGAGGGACCGACTGAAGAGCATCTATGCTTTGAAGTGGATTCGAGCCAAGGGAGTAGTTAGAGGTATGAGCCGATGTAGGGCTTGGGAACTCTAGAATAAGTACTTTTTTCGAGGACGGAAAATTTGTAAGGAGGGTAGAATGTAATGCCCCAAACTCGTGTCATTCATTTTATGCATATGTAGTATTTTTCATGATTATTTAATTAATGTTAATGTTATTTTATTTTATTGTTGAGCTCGATTTTTATGTATTGATTAAGTGAATGTCCACACTCATTAATCATAAATATTGACAATTGGAAAAATTATTTAGATGTCCTCATCTATTTAATTTTCCTAAGTATTAAATAGCCATAATATTAATATAATTTTTATTATATTAATGAGATGGACTAATTAAGTAATTAAAAACCTTAGCAGTAATTAGCAGAAGTATTAATCTAAGATTTTGAGCATAAAAAAATCGGCCCTAAGAGAGAAATCACGTGAGAATTGAGAAAAGATAAAAGAAAAAAATCTTGTCTTGATCACCACGCCACAAAAAAATCTCACACATATGGAAATAGGAATCCTTTTCCTATTCCAAGTCTTATAAATCTAGCCTTATAAATATATCTCTTCCTTCATGTGATTTATTTTTTCCTACGCTAATTAAAAAAAAGAAACGCACGCACGCAAGAAGAAAAAAAAAAGAGAGAAAACTCCATCCCTTCACACGTTCAAGCCTACTGCCAAGAGCTCGAGCTTTTTTTCATGAGTCATTCTTTTCTTCTTTTTCCCCAGCACGGTAAACCCTCTTTTCGATCCTTGGGCTGAATTTAATGTTCATAATATTAATTAAACATGAAAAGATATATAAATTAACAAGAGAATTATATAAGATTCAATTATTTTCTTTTATATTTAATGAAAGACCAAATTGGATCTTGGAAAATTTGGTATTTTTAAAAGATATTTAATGTCTAAGAAGTTGATAATAAGGCTTGCTTAATGAAGATTATGTGTCATGTTGAATTGAATGATATTGATAATGATTTATAGAAGTTATGCATGAAATTTCTGTTTTCGTGGCCTCTGTTGTGAACCATTTTTGGCGACCAAGAACTCATTCTTGGAAATATGTTCTTCATGAGATATGTGGAAAAGTTTGTTAGGTTTCAGCAGGCTTTGGAATCTTGGGAATCGGAGTTCATATGGATTTTATATGACTTTTACAAGTCAGTTGTGTGTCCAGTTTTTATGAAGTCAGGACTGAGAATATACCTTTAATGTATGACCTACTTTGATGTGTCAAATGTGCTCAAATTTGAAAATGGTCTTCATGATATATGTAGCCTTATGTGTATAGTTTCTGTAGGTGTTAGATTCGCCTGAATATGAGGCCTGTAGCATGAGATATTTCGGTTTTACAAAGGCTCTGTATGATATATGATGTCATTCTCGGACTGCAATTGTGTTCCAAATGTACCATGAATAATCTGTGAGCAAACGTCCTCATTTGCCTTTGATGTCAACATGAAAGTTGTATCCATACTTGTTTGGTTTCTGTAAGTTTTGGAATTTCATGATTTTATGGCCTGTAACTCGAGATACATGATAATTACTGAGGTGTTGTATGTAATATAAGTTGGTTTCTGACAATTTTTATGAACTGAATGTTTTCAAATTAAACTCGATGATAATATCATTATTTTCCAATGTGGTCTTAAGCAAAGTTGTATATAATTACGTTGGCTGCCTTGTGGGTTTTGAATCCTATGAAAAGCATGTCTGTAGCTTTAGTTATCATGCAATTACTGAAGTCCTGTCAGCTGTTTTATTTCAATCGTTGACTGCAGCTATGAATTAGATGTTTGTTGTATTATGTGCAATTAAATAACCCTATCTGCTTGAGGTTTCATCATGAAAGTTGTAGAGGTATGGGTTAGGGATAATTTTCAATTTGAATCATCATGATATGGTCTATTGACTGAAAGTTACATGCATTTTAAGTTCATCGCGCATGCTGGAAATTGTATAAGTTCATGTTTGGAATTCCAAATTGATTATTATTAGTTAAAAACATGTTTATGTGGCATAACTGATCCATGTCATGATATTTGAAGTTTATATGACCCTTCAATGCCCTATGTGAAAAAAGTTAAGCAAGTTAAGTTATCAACCAATCGAAAAGACTTTAACATAAACATTTTCAAAGTATGCGAGCAAGGCGAGACCAAGCGAGCTAGTTTTCAAAGTTCATGTATATATATAAGACTAAGTATGAGTTTAATTTAAGACATGATATGATTCTAAGACATGTCCCAACGAACTGTAGTCAACGAGGAGTCGAGCCCTCGAGTTCTTTCAAGTTCAAGCCTTTAAGTCGAGCATTCCGAAAAAGGTGGGGGAAGTTCTACGTTATTTATCCTTCTTGATTATCTATGTTTTGAATGATGTTAAGTAGCTTGCATAGTACCCATGTTTATATAATGTTCCAACATTTGAGCAAGTCGTTTGTATCAGTACCAAGGTTCACGGACTATAACTCTAGAGGGTGGCTAAGTGCTAGGGTTAGAGTATGTAAGTGCTTGCATGTAACCTTCGTTGGTGCACACTTCGAACGGTTGTCCTCGTCGATAAGATCGTACGAAGCCTATGTTGAGGACTGTCTCCCTTCAACCCCACAAGTGGTACTCTTGTCAAGCCTAGTTGGCCGTGCCGTGAGAGGCAATGTTCTTCCACCACCATAAAGTGGTATAAGGAGTTTGACGAGGGGTGGGAGTATGATGATAGTGTACTTACGTGCATACAAAGACTCTAATGTTTAATTGCCTAATAGGATTGTAGAAGCAAGAAAGTCTTTCGACTTGTGGGCAACCACTAGTCGGGAGCTCATGATTATGATGAGTATACCTAATGATTTCATGCATGATAGTTGGTTAGAATGTTAACTTAGAAGGATCTCTCACTGAGTAAGTGGAAATGCTCACACCCTACTTGTTTTCCACACCCAGGTACATGGCGAGCTGGCATTGGAGCGATGGCGAGGGTGGTCACATGGTCATAGGATTTTAAAATGATTTGGGTTTTTACGTTTCCATAATAAGTTATGTTTTTATGAAATGTTCATGTTTAAAGCAAAGTGTATGTCATCGATATGCAAAGTTCAATGTTGAGCCAAGGTCACAAGTAAGCCCTCGAGGCTTTGCCATGTGTGTTTTTTTTTTTTTGATAATATTTTCAAAGTAATGCAAAGTCATGATATGTTTACGAAATGTAAGTTAAGTTTCAAATGCAAGTAAGTTTTATTTTAGTAGCGCCCTAAGTTTGAGTAAAGTTTTCCAAGTATTGTTCAAAGGAAAATTTTATTCAAGAAATTCAAGGTATGAAAAGTGGGGTGTTACATTAAAGAAGTAAGGAACAAGAATTAAATATATTTTGAACCGAGCATTAATTATTTTTTGAGCTAGAAATTCAGTTTTTGAGCCTTGAGATATTTTAATCCGAACTTTAGACAAGCTTAGAGATTAAGAAGATGCGTTAGAGAAATTAAATAAATTAAGTCAAGAAAATTGATTAATGGCTTAATAGCGGAAAAATACACGACCTTTACTTGATTGGCCATTTAATCATGACTTTCAAACCTTGGCAAGTAAATACACAACCTTTAGATTTTTGGCAACCTAATACACGGACTTAACGTCCGTCAACGGAAAGCTGACGGGGTAGACGGAAAGCTGACGGGGCATTTTTTTAACGGCCACGTCACCAAAAAGCTTGACTTAACAGGAGCCAAGTCATCACCTACGTGGAAATGTTGCAAAACTATTGCAAAGAGGGGGTTTGAACCTGGTACCACTAGCAAATAAAATGTGCTTATAAGCCACTTGGTCTAACACAATTTATGTTAAATATTTGACTTCACTTATTCATATACAAACATCATTTTATGTAATATATTTATATTTATATATATAT